CTATGGCCTTGTAAGGACTAAATTGAATAGCAAATGGGAAGACTTGGCTCAGGGGAGCACTGATAAAAGTGCAGCCATTACCCAGTGCAACAGAAGGGGCCATTGTCTCCTCCGAGGACTCATAAAATGTGCTCTTAGAAGTCATTCCGATTCATCTAATCAAGTTTTGTGAAGGCCGCTTCCAGGAAACTCACAACAAGGTGGAGATGATGTCACCGAGGGACAATCTAGGGGCCATTAGAGGCTGGGGAAGGAGATTGAGCTTGGGTCGCTCAGCAGAAACCACAGAGCTCACTCCTCACACTCACATCCATCTCTGCAGCCCAGCAGCCCACCCTGGCCCGCCCCACTGGTGAAGGGGAGCGGGCTCTGGCCTGGCTCTGAGGACGCAGGTCCCTGGCTGCCTTGTCGGGGAGGGCTACAGAGGCCGTGAACAGGAGAAAGGCCATCTGTACATGACACACAACAGAGCACTTAAGCTTCCCGCAGCCTGATGCTCTTGTCTATTCCAGAACTTTTTCCATTTACTTCAAAAGCAGTCCGCCTGTGTGATCGGATGCCAGGGTAGGTACATATCAGCTCGAAATATAAAGAGTCCCTCAGAATGTGCCAGTGTGTGCATGGGGTGTGGGTAGGGGCCGAAAAGGAAATAGAAACAGCATGGAACTTGAAGACTCTCGCTAGAATGTTTCCCAGGTTTGCCCATCTGGCTTTGCTGCCAACAATAATCACAAGGGGACCATCTGACATGGTGTCATCTCCTGTGAAATGAGCTGGGGTGAGGCCGAAATGGTCCCAAGGAGTCAGTGGAAAAAGCATGAGGTGGAGGAGTGGAGAGGACCATGTGCCCTTGGAGAGGATGAGAAAAGTTTTCTTTTTGTTAACCTCCATTTGTAACAGATCCGGACGGCTCCTAAATACACTAATTGGGAAACAACGTGGGCTCATGGGAAGATAGACTTGTGAGCCTGAAAGATTCAGGGGCAGGAGCATCAGCTTAATTTCTATGCCACCTGGGGCAAATAGTTTACCTTCTGCAGACTTCAGTGTCCATGTATTAAAGACAGAGATGCTAATATTTACCTGCTTCTTAGGATTAGAAGCAATTTATGTAAAGTGTGGAAAACTTCATCCCCAACTTGATGATATTAGGAGTTGGGGCCTTTATGGGGTAACTAGGTCATAGACCAGCATCCTTATACATGGATTAAAAGGCTCAAGAGAGACACTCACCTCTTCTCCACATGAGGTGAGAGGCAGCTCTTGTGAATATGCTGGCACCTTGATCTTGGATTTCCCAGCCTCTGGAAATGTGAGAAGTAAATGTTGGTTGTTTTTAAGTCGAAGGAGCCGTGGTATTTTGTTATAGCAGCACAAATGGACTAATACTGTAGCTGTTACCTTCATCACCCTCATGTTACATCACTATTACATCCAGCTCACTATGACACAGATTTCGCTAGTGCAAGAAACTATGCTAATCCCTGAAGGTTCTACTGACTGAGCAGTCGATAGAATACCCTGGAACATCTTGAAGCCTATTTGCTAAGGTACAAGTCAGAATACTCAGGGCTTAATATGGGCATTACGGCTATCCCAGCTTCTGTTTCCGTCAGACCCCACAGACTTTCCCCGCATGAGCCTCCTCCTCCTTTGCCCTTCACACCTCCCCAGCTGCTCAGCTTTCACTTCCACCCAGATCTCCCCTAAACCCAGGGCCCAGTCCCAACTCTGCCATGTTTTTCATTTTTTCTTGACTCAGACTGCAGCTTGTTATCCAAACACAATCCTTCTAGCAGGTGGAACTGTGGTTACCACCACCTTTCCTTCCTATCAGGTTGTGAATTCTCAACAGGTCATAGCCAGTGGCTCCAGAGGCTCTGAATGTGACTGTGAGGGACAGAGAGTGGTGGGCTCCACCTTCTGAGAGAATGGATGACTTAAAACTCTGAAAGGAATGTTTTCAGGAATCCTGGGGGTTTCCTGGGACTTGGGCATCTAACACTTGTTCTCTGCAACTACCACGTTTTGGGGAGAATTCATTTTCATCCATTCAAGCAACACATCTTGATAAGATACCTTCTTTTTTTCTTTTCTTTCTTGCAGTACTGGGGATTGAACCCAGGGGGCGCTGTACACTGAGCTTCATCCCTTTTTATTTTTTTATTTTGAGATAGATACTTTGCTGAGGCTGGCCCAGAACTTGCAAATCTCCTGACTCAGCCTCCCAAGTCGCTGGGATTACAGGCATGTGCCACCACGACTAGCCAAATACTAATTTTTGTACAATCTTGAATCAAGGAAGCTCTTGAAAACATTAGAGAAACAAACCTAGAGAAGGCAGAGCACCAGGGCACCCAGCTTTAGCAACAGGAAGGCTGGGCACCTGTTGTATTAGGTCCTGTTGTCAACAGGAATGCAAAGAGCCAGCCCTGGAGGAAGCATCATATACTTCACTCTGTGTGGCCTTAAAGAAGCTACTCTAGCTCCCCTGCACTCGTGATGAGAAGAAATCATTAGCAAAATTGAGTACAGTTTAAATTATCTGTTGTTTGCATCACATTTTATGACTTGTAGGGTAGGGGTGGAAACATAGGAAGTCAATCCAGAATCCTTTTAGAACAATAAAACCTGAGAAGTCAGAGAAATCGAGCAATGATTTAGTTTAGGATTAGCAGTAATAATATTACTACAACAACACATATCACAATTTAAGGACCTAATTATTTATATGTTTGTATACGTGTATGTGTGTGTATGTGTGTGTGTGCGTATGTGTGTGTGTGCGTGTGTAGCACTGCTATCCAGATTATCCCATTTGACTTGTGAAACAATTCTGTAAGGTAGAAATTTATTTTGTTGTTTTACAAGTCAATCTACTGAAGTTCAGAGACTTGTTGTGAGTCACAGTTAATAGTGGTTACTCCAGAATTCAAGCCCATATTTCCTAAATCCCAAATGCAGGGCTGACTCTTCCAAATTCCCAATAATTCCTCAATTCTTAGACACTTACCCATCAGACAGAAAGCATAAAAACAGGCATAGGATTACCTACTGCATGTGAATAAATATAAATATAGATGTATATGTAACTCCAATTCTTCCATTGTAAGAACCAATTTTCTCAAGGTCTCAAAAATGTGTGGGTATAAATTCAAAAAGTAGCTAATATTTATTGAGAACCTATTATGTTCCAGATCAATGGATTACATAAACCCTCTAAATGTACCTCCACTTAATCCTCACAACAATCCTGTGTAATAGATACTGGCTAGACATGGGGGCACATACCTATAATCCCAGTGGCTCCAGAGGTTGAGACAGGAGGATCACAAGTTCAAGGTCAGCCTCAGCAACTTCCGGAGGTCCTAGGCAACTTAGATCCTGACTCAGAAAATAAAAAGGACTGAGGCTGTGACTCAGTGGTTAACCACCCCTGGGCTCAATCCCCAGTGCAGAGAGAAAGAGAGAGAGAGAGAGAGAGAGAAAGGAGAGAGAGAGAGAGAGAGAGAGAATGTATATGTGTGGGGGCGGGGGAAATGTTGCCTGATCTTAATAAAACAATCATCAGAAAGGTTAATGATTTTCCTAAGGTCACACAGTCCTCAATGAAAGCTGGACTCAGAGAAATGTCTATCTGGCACCAAAGTGCCCACTTCCAATCACTATGCCATTCTTTTTTTTTTTTAAGAGAGAGAGAGAGAGAGAGAGAGAGAATTTTAATATTTATTTTTTAGTTTTTTCGGCAGACACAACATCTTTTTTTGTATGTGGTGCTGAGGATCGAACCCGGGCCGCACACATGCCAGGCAAGCGCGCCACCGCTTGAGCCACATTCCCAGCCCTCATTATGCCATTCACACCACAGCTGCAACCCATGCTTCTCACCCCGACTTTTCATACTGAACTCCAACCCCCTAATATACACCCTCCTATTTAAGGGCATCTCAAACAGATGTCTACGTGTGTCCTCCAAGTCAACCCTCCTGTCGACTCTCTAGTGTCACCCACCGTTTCCTTGCACTCTCGGCTACCCAACTGAGAAACTAAATACTTAGCCATGATCTCCAGTGCAATAAGCTCACAAGTAAAAAGAAGGAAAGAAGGAAGGGTCCTGGTCACATCCCCACCAGCACCATCGATGCTTTGGTTCTTCATTTCATCTGGAAGGTGGAGGCTGGAACTTCCAGTTGGAAATTCATGAGGAAGTTGAGGGGCACTTTCTTGTCTGAGATCCCTTTAGGGGCCTCGCCTCCTTGGGGCCCTTTGTAGTAAGAAGGAATAGAGGGCTTTGCATCCCTGGGCCGCCTGCGTGCCCAGGCCATGCCCTGCTGGCTAAACTGGGCACCTGCCATCACAGGCACCTCAGGAGCAAAGCAGAACGCTGGTTCCTGCCTCTGGAATCAGGTGCTGTTGGAAGACGTGGCTCCTCCATTATCGACAGTTCATTTGTCAACAAACTCGTACTTGTTGAGTGACAAGGATGTTCAAGTGTGTTCTTTTAGAGGAGAGTGTGAAACGTATTTTAAAAAGACAAGATATTGCTCATGTAGGGTTTTTGATGAAAATTAGTATAGCCAGATCAACAGAATTACATCTGGATATTGTTTTGTCTTACCAACATTTTCTCTTTGTTAGTGTTTGCTATAAAAGGATCACAGTGGCCCTCCTCACCTTGTGGGGGCAGAGCCTCCATCACCTTGGATGAGAAAACTGTGTAAAGGAAAGCCAACACAGGACCCCCACCCTCCATATGAGAATCTCCAAAGACCCCCTGACCTGCAGTGGCAGTAGGGCCCGAGTTCCCATGTTGCTCTGTGAAGCTGCCCATGTGCAGGACTGAGAGGAGACAGCCCAGGCTCCACGTGATGCCTGATACAGAGCAGGAACCTTCTGATCACTTTGCCTCAGAGGAGGATTTCCCAAGTCTCTTTGAGCCCAGCTGTTTCAAATTGATGAAGACAAGAACTTTCTCACCCCCACCTTCTTTTATCGTCCAGAACAAGACCCAGAAGGGTCCTTTTCCACCACGGGAGCTATTCAGCTTACAGAAACCTGCAGAAAGTGAATTACTCAACTGAATTTACAGGTGAGTTTTTTTCTTCCTTTCATCTTACTTCTCTCCTATTACACTTTTCAATGATCTGTCAAACTATGCTAGAAAGAAATAATCCCCATTTTTAAAAAAAAGGACTGCTATTATTCTCACAAGTAAAAAAGGATAAAATATCTTAAAAAAAAAAAAAAAACTTCTAGGGCTGGGGTTGCGGCTCAGTGGCAGAGTGCTTACCTGGGTAGTATGAGGCACTGGGTTCGATCCTCAGCCCCACATAAAAATAAATAAAGGTATTGTGTCCAACTACAACTAAAAAAATAATAATTAAAAAAAACTCTAGACTAATTTGTAACCTGTATATATTTTTTTTCTCTTCTTTTTTCTTGTCTCTTTTCCAGTTTTATTTCGTTTTTGGTGACACTAAGTGCCTTGGTCTGTTTCATGCTGCTATAACAAAATACTACAGACCGAGTCATCTGTGAAGAATGGAAATCTATTTCTCGCAGTTCTGGAAGCCGGGAAGTGCAAGATCAAGGTGCCAGCCTCTGGGTAGAGGGTAGAAGGGCCGCCTGCTCACATGGTGGATGGCAGAAAGACAAGCTACTAAACAATGCATGAAGCCTCTTTTATAAGCACTTTAAACCCATTCACGAGGGAAGGGGCCTTCATGACCTAATCACCCCTTGAAGCCCCCACCTCTTAATACCTTCCCATGGGCAACAGCAACCATAGAAGCTGGTATTTTGATGGGCCACTGTTGCTCCTCCTGGAGAGTTCCTAAGTAACCAGCCTTCAGAGTGGAGCTCCTCGGTGCAGACATTCACATTGTTTATCACTGTCTGTTACAGTCGTTACCAGAGAGGCCTTAAAGGTATTAAGGGGAAAAAATACAGACAAAGCAGATTAAAAGTATACCTCATGGTCTACTGAAGGCTTCATCTATAAACCACACAGTGTCTCACAGGTCAGACGCCAAATAATGGGTTAGACAATTAGGTGAAACAGTGGTTTCATTTCAAATATGAGGAAACTTGCAGTTAAGCAAAAGGAATTCAGTTAGACACACGGGGGTGAGAGGGCCAGTCTCCCTGCCCCCACCCCCAGTCCCCCATCCCGGGTTGTTCTCCATCCTTCTTCATTGCTGTGACTCTGTGACGCAGGCCCAGGGTCCAACTCCACGGCCAACACCGTGGCCTGACCCCCTCCTCGGGAGACCTCCCTAGGTGCTGAAGGTGTGCCGTTGGCTTCCTCAGGCTCTCCGTGGAACCATGAGGCTGAGTCACGTCTGCCCACAGCTGCTGCTGTTTGCATCCCTGGGCACAGAGCTCTGAAACTCGACCCTGGCAAGGACCAGCCCTATCCCCTTGGAGGAAATGGCTGAGCGGCCTCAGCAACAGCAGATGAAAACTTCCTTCCTCTTCATCCAGCTGCAGGCCCCCCCTGCCCGTGCTCTCCCCGCCCAGTCTCCAGCCACTGCAGCCTCAACAGCAGCCCCAGGGGGCCTGGAGGAGGGACACATTTTCCCAAGTCCCAGGACAAACTTCTTGGCAGGCCGGGACCTCAGGCGCACACAGGGCTTAGCTGCTTCTCCTTCAAGCCTGCTGCATGGGGACGGCCTTGGGACAGTGGAACCAGCTGCTTTCAGTTGCTGTTCACTGAAGGAGAAGGAGGAGGGAAAGTCAAAACCCCAGGACCTGGACCTCAGATCCCCACGTTGTAGGCACTGCCTGGCCCCTGCCTCTAGGAACCGCGCATGCCCACAGCCCCTGTCATGCAGGCTTGCTAGCCCGGCTCCTATCATGAACGATGGAAGCAGCAGTCCCCCCATGGGCTGGAAGCACTGGCCTGTCTCTTCTGCGCCCCAGGACCTGTGGGGCATGGACACCCCGGCCCGGAACACCTCTGGATGCTCGACTCCACAGGCCACCTGGGCCCACACTGTCGACAGGGGTGAAAGGGCTGGGCTGAGGAGGGGTGCTGCCACCTATCAGGGGCTCCCACAGAGCTGTGGAGAGGAGGCTGGCACCACGGTTCTGGCAACAAGGGCACAGCTCCACAGATACTGCCCGGCTCTTCAGATCAGCACAAGCTCCCCGGCCCCACCTGCGGCTCCACCTCTCAAGGTAAGAATCTGTGTGAGCCTAAATCCCCAGACTCTAGCTGCTCCTTCAGCAGAGGAGATGGAGACCGGGACAGCCGTGCCCTCTGTGGCTCCCAGTCCTGACCCTGAGTCTCCCTCTGCTGTGGAGGACCTGCATATGGACAGCAGAGGTGCCCCCCAGCCTCAGCCCTCCCCGGCCTGGTCTGGGCTCTTTCCTGGGGGCTCTGCCACCTTCCCAGCCCCTGGCAACCTTCCATTTGGAAAGAGACAATGAATTACTGTTTCCCAAGATCTCTGCCAAAGAAGTGGGGATAAAAGTTGGATAAGGAAATGCCTACGTTATAGGGGAAGACCAGGGGAAGGGCAAGGAGGGACACAGACATGTTGGAGGCCCTCTGAGGTACCCGCCATCATGCTGGGTGCTTTCTCATAGCTCATTAGTCCTCATCACCACAAGGGCAGTTTCAGACAAGGGAACTGAGATGTGGTCAGGCACAAATCCTTTCCCTCCTTCCAAAAAGATAAGGGCAAAAGCAAACCCTGCTTCCGTGGTAGACGGTGTGGACAGTGAGGGAGGCTTCAGTGAGCCATGGGGGTTTCCAGAACTAGAACACAGCCTGGAACACTGCACATTCTGGGCCCACATCTCCCTCCCATTCTCAGCCCCCACCAAGCGGACATGCCTCACTGGGCACGAGCCTCCAGTTCCCATCAGGAAAGGCAAAGGCTACTCCGTATGGTCTCCAGGTCTACTCCAGATCCCCCGGGCTTTGCCTCCCATCATGGTCCTGCAGCTTTTAGTTAGCATACTAGTCTCTGCATCTCGGACCCGCCCCCATCATGATGGTGCCAAAGCCCACCCTCTCCACCGAGTTCAGGTGTACAACTCTCAAAATGGGGGTTCCAAGTTTCCAATTATGCCTCCATCTTTTCTTACCCAGCTGCAAGAACATGCTGCTATACTTTGTGCGTGTGTGTGTTGGGGTTGATGGAATGAGTCAGGAAGGGGACTCTTGGTGGTGTACATGGAAGACTGGCATGGAGGGGGCTCTCAGGGAAGTCAGGGAGTTGGGGAGGGGGATGCCACTTCATCCAGACCCGGTGGCTCTCTGACCTGCTCATGCACACATCACTCCTTACCCATTTGTCTTTTTAATGGGGGGGGTCCCGACAGCCACAGTTAAGCATCAGGGAGAAAGAATCCAAATTCTCTCCAGAGGGGAACTCTTGGAAGAAGTGATACTATCACACTTCCTTGAGAAATAGCTTGCATTCCATCCTCGTTCTTGTATCTCTCATTTCCTACAGGGATTTAGGAGGAATGACACACTCCTGCGTCAGAGTCCAGTCTCTGGATGTGGGGGGGGGGGGTCATACAGTAGTTGTCTGTGTACTTTTAATACTGTTTGATGGCTTGAAAACTTTATGCCCCCCCCCCACCACCACCACCCTTCCCGGGGCAAAGGGCGAAGCCTCACAGCTGTTGCCATTCCCTAGGGAGGGGTGCTTAGGGAATTGGTGCAGGAATGTAGAAATTGGCCTTGGCGGCCTCATTTAACCCCCTGTGTAAATGGGCCCCCAGATATGGATTCCACCTACACTAAGGATTGCAGAATTCCCATTTACAAAGCTAGGAACCCCAAATCTAAGTCCTAGCCACTGGAGCTCTCTTGAGTCTCAGTTTCTCCATCTTGGAAGCACTGATGATGTACCAGCTCCTAGGTTGCCATGGAGATTTGTGTACTAAAGTGTTGGGGCAGTGAAAGGGACCAGTCATAGTTCTGCCTTGCAGAAGAGAAGAGAGGAAGCAAGACCTATGGGACTCCAGCCATGGAATCAGTGTGAGTATAGTGACTCCAGGGCCTGGTGAAGGAGTAGGGCTCCTTGACCTTGCTGAACAGACATGACTCCCTTTGCCATGGGGATAGGAACTGTGAGATGAGCTGCCTCTATTTCACAAGTCCTTTAAATGCCTTACAACTATTATGAACCTAGTGACCCAGTCCCACATTAAGTGTTAGGAAAAGTAGAAAAATCAACAAAGATAGTTTTTCCATCTGTCCAACCCTGGGCAGATTAAGGTGCCCCCCCGACCGGATGTAAAAAATTAGTTCATGAGAATTGCACAATAGTTCATGTTTTGGAATCTAGAGCATCAAAATGCTGGTTAAAATATTTTATTGTTGGGCTAAGGCTATAGCTCAGTGGAAAAGTGCTTGCCATGCATGCGTGAGGCACTGAGTTTGAGCTCAGCACCACATAAAAATAAATAAAGATACTGTGTGTTCATCTACAACTAAAAAAATACCTAAAAAATATTTTTAAAAAAATATTTTATTGTCAACTATGAATGCTGAGACCCTTGATTCCTCACTGTGGAAACTTTCAAGAAAAATGTGATCAGCTATATTTAAAAAAGTGAAAGGTTGGCTGGGTGCAGTGGTTCACACCTACCTGTAATCCTAGCTACTAAGAAGGCTGACACAGGAGGATCACAAGTTCAAGGCCAAGCTGGGCAACTTAGCAAGACCCTTCTCAAAATTTAAAAAAAAAAAAATAATAAGGACTGGGGATGTAGCTCAGTGTAGAGTGTCCCTGGGTTGAATCCTCAGTACCAAAAAAGAAAAGTGAAATGTTGGTTACATGTAAGTAAATTTTATTCTATGTGCATACCATAGGATGGAGGTCATTGTGTCAACCTTCTCAACAGAAAAATCTGCATGTGAAGAGTAAATTTTTTTTCTTTGCAGAACTCCAAATGATCAAGCTTAAATCTCTCAGTGTTAAAAACCCATAGGCTCCAGTGTGAAAATTTCTGACTTATATCCTTCCAAGTAGCATAAGGACTGAGTACAGTGCATTAAATCACTTGGTTTTTAATTTATATGATGATCAGCCCCTGGCCGCTCTGCTGTCTCTCACTATCTTTGCATCTGATGAAATCTCCTAGAAGGTAACCAGCATCCCGGGAGCTGGAGGTCCACACTGCACTCCTCAATTCCCTGGTGGACAGGGTGGGAGAAGCACACACAGGAACAGCAGGTCTAGGGACTGGTTTGGAACAGACACCACTGGCTTTCCAGAAGCAGTGGAGTCTGGGTTTGAAGGATGTGGAGTTCCAGCTCAGGGGGATGCCATCTGAGGCCGTCACATTCCCACAATGTGAAATCAGAAGATTTCACATTCTGTCAATGAATTCTGTCAATGTGAAATCAGAAGATGATCCTTGGTCTGGGACCAGAGCCTGCCCCAAGGATCTCCTGGACCCCATGTCCTGCTGCCCCTCTGTGGGAGCCCATGGAACTGTCAACATTTGACTAGGGTTTGGGACTAAAGATATGAAAATAAGGATAAAAGACACAACTCAAAACAAACAATAAAACCTCTATAATCATTCTGGGAAATTTCCACATATAAAAAAAACTAGGTCTTCATATCTTACATAGTTCATATCTTAAAATAGCAGTGACTTTTGCTCTATAACTGGGTTTAGAAAGTTAGTAATGAATGTATTCTTTAGAATTTTCCTCAAAATGCCATGTTTACAAACCTCACAGGATTTTCACCCATAACTGTAAATTCCCCAGAATTTTACCTCTTAATTTTTTTCTTCCTTCTTCCCTTCCCCTTTCATAACCGATCGACTTTTTCAGTTTTCCTTGCCAGCTTCTGGGAGTGTTCATGGTTTAGAAATCAGGGAACTAAGCAGGACAGGCCAGGAATTCTTGGAGGTATGTGAGAGAGAGACAAGGATCTTCATTAATCTAATAAATGGAAATGCAGGGTAGGTCTGTTTCCCTAGAAGCAGACCCTGTCCAGCAGACTGGAGAAAATGTTTTAACTCTCTATGGCCTGGATTGTTACTCCTTAAAATGAAAACAGTACCTGAAATAAGTTTTTGGTAGGAAGTTTTTATTTAGGGTAAAAGTCGTGGGGACTGGGATCCAAGAGATAAACAAAGGAACTCTGGTTCTATCAACTAATGAGCTGTGTGGTCTCTGCCGACTCCTTGAACAAAGCTAGCTGATCTCCCGTGTTCTCTGAGGTCTTCTGAGTTCTGACATCTGGCGGTAACTATGAATGTATGCATCCAGAAAAGGAATGGAATTGTTTAATGCAATAAAAGGATTAAAGCAATTTCATTTCATCTAACTCTGCTTGTCTCTTAAGATTTATTATTTAGTCAGAGGACTTCACTGCAGGACAGTTCCACACAAGGTGGGCATTCTTTTCTTAGCGAGCACCTGGATTTCAATAGGGAGCTAGGAATTCTGGGGTATGACAGACTCCATGCCCCCTTCCAGCAGTAACACCAACGCCCATGCAGAATTTTAGGACTAGTATTGCAAACTGCCTGCTCTCCGATTGATAGTTCCTTTTCAGACCATATTCTAGTTTGAATGATAATAATAATAATAATAATAATAATAATAATAATTCTCTTCTGTGAGTTGAATGCTGACCTTTGGTCTACTGAAGCCCCAGGAAATGGTCATTTTCCTCCTCTGGGGTAAATACTTCTTTACCCAGGCCTGTTTTACTTTTCTAACCTGCCATAAGTTTAGAAACTGTTCCACTCATAAAATGATAAGCTAGATAATTCTGTATTTAAATCCTTCTTGGTGAGTAATTCAGAATTTTCCAAAAGAAATTGGAAAAGAGAGAAAGCACACGCAAATGCTTATGTGTGATTTTAACAGTGATCTAGATAAGTGTGCAGGGAAGCATCCCTTTGAAACGATCCTGGTATTTAGAAAGACAGTATTGATTGGGTTGCAAGGCTTATCTTTACTCCATTTTACCCTGTGTTGGTTTTGACACAAATGTCTTGATTTATTACTTGAATAAATACAGCCTGAGATAGCAGAATGAGTTTCAATTCTCCCTTCTGGTGATTTGCCTTAGTGTTTCCATGACAACGTTGTGTGCTCCTCTCTCTGTACCCCTTCTTTCCACAGTCACACACAGAAGTCCTGTGGCAATATCAATGTAATGGTGCTGCCCCGAAGGAATCACCAATTT